TGGATGACGTCCTTGCGTTAATCTAAACTTCAACACTGGAACAGAGAGGATACTATTCACCATCTGTCTTTAATAGACAAAGTTTAAAGAGGCTGAGTGTCTCGTCTGAGGTCACACAGCTGGAAAGTGACTTGGACAGGTCTGGAATTCAGATCCACTGGATTCGGCACTCCAGCTTTTTTTTTTTTTTTCTCCACGATGAGAAGTCTTTCCAGGGGGTCAGCTTGTTTTACCTGGTACCAAGGAAAAGATCTTTTAACTTGATTCTTTATAAGAATGAGAAAAAAAAAATGGCTGAGTAGACTGAACACGCAGGTTGGTAAAGGATGCTTGGACATATAATGTTAATTATTTATGTCTGAGTAATCCGCAAGGATATGTAACAATACATAGGTCAGGTAATAATACACATTTCCTCCCTGGGTATTATTGATAGTTACCTTCATGAAGGTGAGACGGGTTTCCCGATTACACTTCTCTCTCCCATCCTGTTTTCTCACCTCGTTGCCATGTGTCCAACCCTAAGACTGAAATCTCTTTCGATCGTAAGCGCCCTGAAGACAGGGGCCGTGTCTCCCTCCATCTGGGACTCCCAGAGCCCAGGAGAGTGCTGGCACGAAGAACGGTGGACCATTCGGCTCCGGTCTTCCTAGAATCAGCTTGTATACGCTTTCTTCCGGAGGTCACGTATGCCTGCTTTCTGCAGCTCAGATCTTCAGCTACCCATAGTTGGACCGATGGGTTTCTAGAACCGTTGCTGTTTTACTTTCTGCCTCTGATGCGTTCACATAGAAAGCTCAAGAAGGCATTGTGTCTGAACCTCAGGAGCCGGTGCTGTCCGAGCCTACTCCGCCGTTCAGCACAGCAGCAGTGCGAGGAGTGTGGCTGTGGACTTACACCCTGAGTGTTCCTACAACACTCCCAGTTGGTGTAGACATCCCACTTTCCTTGCTAGTCTTGTCTCTGGATAGAAATATCCTGCCAGGTGCTGTGCTGAGCTCGCGCAACTGGTACGAGGCTGTGGGTGTATGTTCACGGCGCTAACGTACAAGCTCATGTCAATAACGTTGGAGAACCGCACCAGCACTTACTCGTGACCCATTAACTCTTAGTTTCTTCCAAGTTCTAACAGCTGGGCTATGTCTGGTTTCTACCTTTCAGCGTACTGAATGCATCACTTTGTGAACGTATTGACGAGGATATTGACGGCAGAGAGAAGTAATGATTCTCAGTTTGCCCGGTTGCAAAGGAAGGAGCAGATAAACCATTAGAACGAGGGGCTTAAACATCTGGGAACCGGTTAGTGCATGTTGAGAAGTCAAGAGAGCTACTGAGACCCCCCTCTAATAACTCAGCAGCGCCCCTCCATAATTGATGTCCACAGTGGCGATCTGGAATCCAAAACTCATTCACTATTGTTCAGTTGACCGACTGATTCGCGATGCGTTTGACGTGACAAAAAGTATGCGCTATGTTTTAGAAATGTCTTAATCTAAAGCGCCAATAGCTTTCCAAGGGAGAGAAAACTACCTACAAAATTTTGGCTTTGCACAGTTGTATGCTACAGGACAGATGTGAGTAGTAAAGGGGTGTGTGTGTGTGTGTGTGTGTGCGTGGATGAGACAGAGACAGAGACAGAGAGTTTGTGTGTGTGTGTGTGTGTGTGTGTGTGTGTGTGTGTGTGTGTAGTTTATGGACATCAGCATTTTGTATCTTGCTGTTGGAATATTTTAATAGAAGCACATTCTTCAATCCCATTTAGGGATGTGAATGAACCATTTATACTGTATGACCCAGAAGGCTCTGATGACGTAAGGCAGGAAGCGGTGTGCCTTGGCAAGTGAGAGAGCAGTTACGATTTCTTATCACCATGGAGACAAGACATCTGGGGCTCCAAAGACTCTGTGTGCTGCCCCTGAAAATGCCATGCATCTTGGGAGTTCTGACTGTACCCCAGGACCCTGGGTCTTCAGGGCCTCTCTCTTAGTCAAAGGCTCCTGTTCTTTGTCTTTATTTTGTTTTAAAATGTCGATGGCCTTTGAAATGGGTTTCGATGAGAAATGAGGGGCGAGAAGGAGATGGTTCAAATGACGTACAGTAATTAAGTCAATTCCCTCTTCTTGCGAACGTCTCAGGAAGGTTCAATACAAACAAGGTTCAAGTTCTTCTGAAACAGCACGTCTGAACAGTCTTCTTTAGCATGCTAAGTGAGTAAAAAAAAAAAGTGAGATATTACAGGAGCGAGTGAGTGATTAAATTAAATGTGCCTGGAGAATGGAGCCCTGTCAGGAGTCAGCAGAGTAATGAATGTACACTGCTGTGCGGCTCTTCCGCATTTTCCGGCACTCCTGAGCTGTGCTACCCAGAGTGCTCCCACTTACGTTTTACCACCGCTGATGGCCTGCCAATTCTAATGAAAATACCCTGTGTCAGAAAGGCGACGGGAATTATGTACATGAGCTTTTGGTTCCTCTTTTCTGTCCACTGCTCAGTACTTAAAAGAGGCTCGATATTAAAACATTATGTAAGTATGCAAAATCTATTGCAAGAAAAACGTTTCGGCTATACACAATGTCTCTTGGCAAGGAATGCTGGTGTGCGATGACATAGGAAAAGTGGTAAAATGTATTTTTAGCTGCTTTCCCTGGGGAGAGGGGAGGATAAGGCAAAAATATCTAGAATGCAGAGCATTTGATTTTCTAGCTATTCTAATACATAGCGTATTGGTGGTATATTTTAAAATATGTAACTAAATAAAATTGTTTAAAAAGTGAATTTTTTACTTAAAGATTTCTATAGTGTTTTTTCGGTTAATTTGTGTCCTTTCATTTATTTTTATTTATTTTTTTTAATGTTTATTTATTTTTTGAGAGACAGAGAGAGGCAGAGTGTGAGCGGGGGAGGGGCAGAGAGAGAGGGAGACACAGAATCTGAAACAGGCTCCAGGCTCTGAGCTGTCAGCACAGAGCCCGACGCGGGGCTCGAACTCAAGCGCTGTGAGATCAGGACCTGAGCCGAAGTCGGACGCCCAACCGACTGAGCCACCCGGGTGGCCCCAATTTGTGTCCTTGTAAAAAGCTTATTCTAGATTGGTATTTCTTTCATGATTTTTTTTTTCTTACCCACACCCTTTTGAATTGCTCTTTCTTGCACAAGAAATCATAAACCATTTTTATTTTATGTGAACAACTGATCGATGGATAAAGTGTAGTCCTTATAAGAAAGGGTTGTGGGCATTATGTTCAGAACTTAAATATTGGAGACTTAAAACTATTGAAGTCAAGACTCTTGGTCAATTCTGATTAAAGTAAACTAAAGGAAGTTTCAAATGAACATAGGACAACAAACAATAAAAGAAGGTGATTTTTTGGCATTTTTAGTCTTTTCCCAAAGATACAAGATCACATTATCCCCCAAGTAGCCTTGCATCCAGTGGTGGAATATTCCATAGGAGGGTCTAACAGTGGCAGGGGAGTGGTATCCTCAGTCATTCCCCATGGGGGTGCCACAGCTCACTCTGGGGTTTACTGCTTTGCCCTTATTTGGCTTATCATCAGATTATAATTGAACAGTAAAAATTGTCTCCAGGTATTTACATTTTCAAAGGGAAAATTATCTGTATCCTTCTTAAAGCAGCACTGACATTTGATCTCTTAATGTGGATGGTTCGGTACAGGTAGAGCTGTACAGACAAACGTCTAGGGATGTAAAGAGTGCCCCCGATGAAAAGTAGGGATTGGTCATTGTTGGGGTAGCAGTTAAGTAACCCCAGAGTTTTCCAAGACACTGATTACAGGAGGAATTGGTCTTAGTCTTAGAATCAAGCATCAGGTGTTGGCTGTTATTATGAGCAGGTTAAGATGGTCCTTCCTGGGAAGTTTCCACAAACTTTATATTTTATGTATTATTGATTTATAATCTAAATCAATATTTAGATTTATTTTTAGGATTATTAAGATTATTTCAATATTTTAGATTTATTTAGGTTTATTATTTTTTTAAGTTTTATTTATTTATTTTTGAGAGAGACAGAGAGAGTGAGTGGGGGAGGGGCAGAGAGAGAGGGAGAGAGAGAGACAGAGAGAGAGAGAGAGAGAGAGAGAGAGAATATCCCAAGCAGGCAGGCTCTGCACTGTCAGCATGGAGCCCGATGTGGGGCTGCAACTCACACGCCCTGAGATCATGACCTGAGCCGAAACTAAGAGTCGGACTCTTAACCGACTGAGCCACCCAGGTGCCCCTATAATCTAACATTTATAATTTATATATTTATTGATTTATAATATAACATTTGTGTGTTTAATTGAAACACTTCAACCAGAGACAGAAGTTCATACATATATGAGGTAGAAATTTACTAGAGAAAGTTAATACTCCTTTGATGTGTCACATTCTAAGAGAAAAGTGGTCAGCAAGGAAAATCTGCTAAATTAGCTCCACAGCAATTATATGCCGGGTCTGTTGCTCAAAATATAAATATGTGTGGGACGCCTGGGGGGCTCAGTCGGTTAAGCATCTGACTTCGGCTCAGGCCATGATCTCACGGCTTATGGGTTCGAGCCCCACATCAGGCTCTGTCCTGACAGCTTGGAGCCTGGAGCCCGCTTTGGATTCTGTGTCTCCCTCTCTCTCTGCTCCCCACCCCGCTGCCCCCCCCACCACTTGAACTCTGTGTCTGTCTCTCTCTCAAAAATAAATACACATTAAAAAATTCTTTAAAAAAAAGATAAACATTTGACCTAAAAACTTAATTCATGAGATGTAATTTTCTAAGCATATATTTAACGTTTAGCATACTTACTAAAAACTCCTAATTTAGGGTAATTGAAAAGTTAAAATAGCTTGGACCCTTAAGGTAACCGACACACTCCTGTCATTAGCCTTTGTTTCAGGTTCTTTCAGTTGCGGGGTGGGGGTTTGAAAAAATTCCACGTCTTTGTTTATGTGGTTGGCTTGCTTTTGTTCTATGTTAATTGCGTAATCATTCTCTTCTATTTCAGGATCTAGATTTCTCATCACATCCACGGGAGCCTTGTATATTAAAGATGTACAGAATGAAGATGGGTTGTATAACTACCGCTGTATCACGCGGCATAGATACACCGGGGAGACCAGGCAGAGTAACAGCGCTAGACTGTTTGTATCAGGTAAACACCCATCCAGCCCGTGTTTCCTGTTTCCATTACACCTTTGTTAGTGCTCTGAGCTAAGTCAACCGAACTTGTAGGACTCATGACTCAAACAAAGGCTTCTTTTGTTTTTTCTTCCAAAACAGTTTAGCAACCAAAGGTTTGCCAATGCTGAACGCTACAAATATAGGTATTCTGAGGGAAGTCATCTCGGGTTTTCCAAAATTCCACACTCCTTTGAGCCAACATGGCTTCTGTTTTGAAGGGAACGCCTCCTTGCCCTGGGTGTGTGTGTTCCGTCCAGCAGCACCTTGAGGCTGCCTATGACACAGAGCTCCGAGGGAGAAGAGCGGGGACCCAGGGACACACCTCTTGTTCCCCATATTCCGTCTAACAATACTGGGGAAACTGCCCACATCTCAAGTTAAAGGGCTAGACGCTCCCTCCCACTTCCTGCCAGGATTATTGTCCAACGGAGGAAACCCGAGGGCAGTTGATTCCACTCTTGTAAATACGCCAGCTTTGTGCCTTCCTTTATGGGATTTATACTTGGAGAAAATACCAGCTGCTTGCATCATCGTCACAACTGGCTCGTCGCTGGCCCACCTGTCCCACAAGTAAGCAATCCGCTCACGTGGCGATATGCCAGCTCTTCACGGAGCGGTTTGGAATGTGAGATGTCCCTCTTGGTCCTAGAAATGTAGCGTGGAGTATGTGACATTTGCCCTTGCGGCTTGAGAAGGTAAAACCGTTCCCCGAAGTGACCCTCTTTAACCTATTTGTAGTGATACTTGTTTGAGGGAGAAGTGATGGAAAGCTGTTGACCGTTGGGGTAATGAAAAACATCTTGCCCGAACACCCTCTTACTGCGCTTCTTCTCTATTTTGGTTCCTGTTCCACGTTCACATCCTTACGATAGCCAGAGCCCATGCTCGCTCTCAGGGGCTGTGCAAACACAAGTCAGAATTCAGCCATCTCCCCTCTGCACAGGGAGACATTTTTTCTTTACCTGTTGACATGGAAAAGAGATTTATTTTATCCCTTGTTTCATAGTGCTGTGTTTTTGTCTCTGTAAGGGCAAGACGATCAGTACACTAAAATTACACTGCGTTAAAAAGAAAGAAAACCTGGAAAAAAGCGAATGAGAAAGCGAATGGCATCTGTGATCGTAGTCCATGGTGGCTTTAATGACAGCACAGTGTTCTACTGGCTCAGAATATCCTAGGAAAGGTCTTGTGTGCAGTGAGGAGAACATGGTAACAGTATTGGGACAAGAAAGGAGAAGGATGGAGGGGTGGATCTGGGTACAAGATTAAATTGAGTTTTAGCAAAAGAAGCAATACACATTTCTCCATCCAAAAAAAGTGAATTAAGTGATGAGAATCTGGGAGCCCATCTTTCTTGGAAGAGAAGACTGAAAAAAAATCTGAAAAAAAGAGAAAACCAGCAAAAAGAAGAGAGAGAGAGAGAGAGACAGAGAGAGAGAGAGAGAATCCTGAAAGGTGGAATTGTTTATCTCTACTCTAAATTATTAAGTACTTATTTTCAAATTCGACTCTCAGGGATCAGGAGGCAGATTTACTTTTCTTAATCCCAAGTTTGTTATTGTTGTTGTTTTGTTTCATTTCATAGAACATTCTGCTGATGCTTTAAACATTGACAGCAGGGCCCATGACCATTTGGTCACCATGGAAGTGAGGGGGTCCATGAGGCTGTCCAGCGAGCATTTGTGACGGGAAGTGAGGCGCTTCTGGGCACAATCTGTGGGGAAATGTCCCACACTAAGACACTGAGCATTTGGGGTTAGAGGTGTAGCTGTGGGGTCAACTGAGTCAAGTGTCATGGAAAGGCACTTGAGAGAGTCTACTGTGTGTGGAACATAACTGTTAGGACTTTTGTCATAGAAACATTAATAACACAGTTGAGGGGGGGAAATTGTTAATGCTAGAAAATGAGACCATGAGCGCTGAGTGAGGATGACTATTCTAGAAATCTAAGCCCTGGGGGAGCCTGGGTGGCTCAGTTGGTTAAGCATCCGACTCTCCATTTCAGCTCAGGTTATAATCTCACAGTCGTGGGATTGAGCCCTGCATCAGGCTCTGCACTGACCGTATGGAGCCTGCTTGGTATATTCTCTCTCTCTCTCTCTCTCTCTCTCTCTGTCTCTCTCTCTCTGTCTCTCTCTCTCTGTCTCTCTCTCCCCAAAATAAATAAACTTTTAAAAGATGTTTATTTATTCTGGGGAGAGAGAGAATGTAAGCAGGGGAGGGTCAGAGAGAAATGGAGAGAGAGAGAGACTTCCAAGGAGATTCTGCAGTGTCAGCACAGAGCCCAATGCAGGGCTCAAACCCACAAACCGTGAGATCATGATCTGAGCCAAAAACCGAGAGCCTGACACTTTACCGCCTGAGCCACCCAGGGGGCTCCAATAAATAAACATTTCTTTAAAAAAGAAATATTAGCTCTGAAGGAAAAAGAAAAATCAATTTTACTTTAGATTTAAATGCATTTAAAAATGCACACATGGGGTTTGGGTCATGTGGGTAGCAAGGTTTTTAATGATCTCAAACTCACCCTGAAACTAAAACGGACGGACTATGATGACAGAGGAAAAAGCACGTGGACGAGACCTTCGGCAGCACCCAGTGGAACGTGGACATGAGTGGGTGTGGATGAAGTGCGGACAGCAGTAGGGGCACGGGAACAAAGCAGTGTCACAGAAGTGGTGGGAGGCGAGGGGGCAAGACCCGCGAGGACTCCACAGTCGCAGATGGGCAAAATAGTCAGCAAATACTTCTCTCCAAAGCAGAGGGCCAGCCCTTGGGTGGGCCCCTGGGGCAATGGGTGTAGGAGTATTTACGGCATTCAGATAGACCTACCCGAGTTTTGAGTTTGGAAGACGAGTGTGGAAGGACCATGAGAGTAGTCTGTGGTGATTGCATCGCTCAGTGGTGGCCCAGCTCCTTGAAGACCTCACAGGTGTTCATTCAGCAAATACTCCTTTCAGAAGAACAGGAAGTCACCCTGATGGAAACTGCTGGGTTTAGCAGTAAAATGGAGTCAGAGTGACTCAGCATTACTAAAGGTGACAGAGAGAGAAGGCTCAGGGGAAGGCCTGGAGGAAGCCCATCCTCTAAAATACTATAATGGGGTACTCTCTAGACCCTAGTGTCCTTTAAAGATCCCAAAAAAAAGGGACCATGGCTCCTTAGAAGAATGGTGGATTGCAGTGTCTGGGACAGGAAATGGATAAGATGAACCTGAAACATTAAGATTGTCAAAACGAGACAGGGGACATCTTCTGAAGGCGTTCTCGTTGGCCCAAAGTGTGATGAGTTGAATTTCAGAAATAACCGATGGCACGTGATTGGTGACCATTAGACATTTGAAAATCTTTTGAGTTCATTACGAATACGCACACGTACATATATATGCAGTAAAACCTTGGTTTGCAAGCATAATTTGTTCTGGAAACATGGTTGTAATCCAAAGCACTTGTATCTGAAAGCGAATTTCCCCATAAGAAGTGCTGGAGTCTCAGATGATTCGTTCCACAACCCAAAAATATTCATATAAAAATGATTACAGGGCTGTACTATAATACAAAATAATAAAGACAATATAAAATAGGGGCGCCCAGGTGGCTCAGTCGGTTAAGCGTCTTGACTCTTCATTTCAGGTCAGGTCATGATCTTGTGGTTTGTGAGTTCCAGCTCCTCATCGGGCTCCGTGCAGGTAGCGTGGAGCCTGCTTGGGATTCTCTGTCTCCTTCTCTCTCTGCCCCTTCCCCCCTCATGCTCTCTCTCTCTCAAAAATAAATAAATAAACATTAAAAATATATTTTAAAAAAAGGAAATACAAAATATAAAGAAAAATAAACAAATTAACCTACACTTACCTTTGAAAACCTTCATGGCTGGTGTGAGGGAGACAAGAGAAAGGAAGTTTATTGTGTAGGACGACTTTCACTATCACTAACAGAATCACTGCTGCCTATTAGCTCAATGGAATCTTTTTCTTTTTGTGCAACTTTAACAAGGAACCTATCCAATGACACTTGCTTTTGCTTCCTTTTGAGGATTTCGCAGAAATGTGACATTGCATTGTCGTTAAACAGATTCATTGCTTGCACTGCTACAGCCTTGCTTGGGTGGTGCTTTTCTACAAAATCTTGCACTGTTTCCCACATTTTACACATCTCCCTGATCTCATCTGAACTGAGGGATTCCTCTGCCTTTTTCTCCTCCTCTGCAGATGAGATGCAGACATAGACTTCTTACAAAATCTTGCAATTTTGGCCACTCACATACCTCACTCATACTTCTTGATCGTTTCCTTCTTAACTTCCACCGTAATCATCTCCTTCTTGTTACCCCTTTTCTTTTCAACCTTTGTTTGCATGGGGGCCATTGTATATGCTCACACACATGTTGACTACAGTACAGTATTCATAAACTTGTTATATGCTGTATTTAATGTAACTGGCAATAAGGCAGCAGAGGAAAGGGTCTATATCTGCAGGCAACCTGAGCTAGAATGAAGCAAAGCATCCCTAGCTTACTCTTGTACGGAAAAGTAAAGGGCTGTCCAGAGGTGCTTTGAAGTGATAAAAAATACACCAGTGCCAGTTGTGGGCACCTTCCAACGTTCTGAAAAATCACTGATTTCTGCCAAGCACCACGGCCTAAAGTCAAGCATCTGAGCATGGGAGACGATCACCCACAATCCTGCAGAGAGAGACAGAGAGAGAGAGAGAGAGAGAGAGAGAGAAGAAGAAGAAGGAGGAGGAGGAGGAGGAGGAGGAGGGAAGAACCATTGGCTCAGTTGTGATCACGTGACATTCGGCATCACCTACTGCTCGTATTACAAACATCGCTCATTTATCAAGTTAAAGTTTATTAGAAATATTTGCTCATCTTGCAGAATACTTGCAGAACAAGTTACAATCCATGGTTTTACTGTACTTGCATACTTAAGTTCATATATATACTTAGATACATGCCCCCATATCTATTTAATGACAACAAAAGCAGCAATAGGAATCTCATTGGTCTACACAGAGGAAATTAGGGCATCACCACTTGGTTTTGGTAAGTGGTAGTTTAAAGAGAATCACAATTCTCCTGTCTTACCTATGACTACTGTATTTCAAAATGACCAAAGAATCCTAGTTCAGGAAGGATAGTTCTTATCTGCCGAATAATCACATCTACTGAAGTTGAAGGAAATATGACAATTAGAAAATCATTTAAACCCTTAATGAAATAGTCCAGACAAACTTTATTACCTGAACTTGCTGATGAACTTAGCATGACCGAAGATGAGAAAGCCACACATGATATGGGTGCAAAGAGAGAGAGGTTGGGTGGCACACGGGTGGCTCAGTCGGTTAAGCATCTGGCTCTTCACTTGGGCTCAAGTCATGATCTCACAGTTTGTGGGTTCGAGACTCACACCGGGCTCTGTGCAACAGCGTAGAGACTGCTTTGGATTCTCTGTCTCTCGCTCTCTCTCTCTCTCTCTCTCTCTCAAAATAAATTTAAAACAAAAGAAATAAAGAGGCTGAACCTGATCTAATCATATCATTAGAACTTAATTCCAGTTTATGAGGAAAATGGCCACAGAGGAACCCATTGAAAATTCAGAATTTGGGATTTGCTGCAAAACAGCCCACTGGCTTCTTCAGTAAGTTGAAGACATGAGAGAGAAAAGAAGGAGGACCTTCTCTGGATTAAAAGAGAATCAAGAGACATAGCTGTTAACCATAGAACAATCCAGACTTAATCAGATCAATTGTAAATAATAATAATAGTTAATAATGGTGTGTTTTTAGCCCCTTGGGTAAAAATGAATTTGGAATAGAGACTAATGGTACCAAGAGGTTATTATTACTATTGTGTGTTACCGACATTGTGGTTTTATGAGAAAACTTGTGTTTTTATTAGAGAAACATACTAATGATATAGTGATAAGATGACAGACGTTCTATGATTTGACTCAGTGTGTCAACACCAAAAGCAAAGACTATAAAGATGTAAACAGATAGATGATAAAAAAATTTTTTTGCTGCCTCTTGTGTCTGGGTGATGAATATGTTGGATGCATTATATTATTTTTTTCTAATTTTGTGTGAGTTTGCAAATTTTTGCGATAACTGGTTTTTAAAATGTAGATATACAGTTTGAAGACAAGGGGATGAAAATTAAATATGATGCTGTTTGTACTAATTTTATACATGAGCAAATATCCCTCCAAGAGCCTGTCACAAGGGTTGCTTAAATTGTATACTTAAAATACAGAAGAAATGCCCCACTCCTTTTTTGTAGTTTTATTGAGATTTAATTTACCATCCCTTAAAATTCACCCACATTAACTACACAATTCATTGATTTTAGTAAATACAGAAAGCTGTGCAACCATGGCTGTCATCCAATTTTAGAACATTTCCGCCACCCAGAAAAATCCCTGGGGCCCATTTGAAGTCAATTCTAATTCCCATCTCCAGCTCCGGGCAACCAGTAATCTACTGCCTGTCTCTATAGATTTGTGTTTTCTGTATATTTCATATAAATTGTATCTTACAATTGTGGCTTTATATCAGGCTTCATTCACGTAGCATGATCTTTTAAGGTCCATCCGTGTTGTAAGATGTATCCGTAGGTCACTCTTTTTTATGGCTAACTAATAGTCCATTGTATGTATATACACATCTCATTCATCCCTTCACTGATGGCCATTTGGGTTGTTTCCACTTATTGGCTATTATGAATCCTGCCTGAGGATTCTAGTTTTTTCTCTACTTCCACTTGAGCCCTTGTTCTTGTTTGTGGTTTTTTATTAGAGCCATCCTAGTGGGTATGAAGCAGTATAAACACTGTAGTTTTTTTTTTAATATAATTCTAATGTGTATTATTGCCCCAGTGGCTAATGTTACGGAGCATCTTTCCATGTGCTTATTAGTCATTTGTGTGTCCCCTTTGGTGATTTACCTATTCAAATCTTTTGCCCATTTTTTGAGTGAGTTGTTTCTTCTTATCATAGAGATGTCAGGGTTCTTTATATTTTTTGCAGATAAGTCCTTAATCAGAAATACTACTTGCAAATATGTTCTTCTAATAGGTTGCTCCTTATTGTTTTCTTAATGGTATCTTGGAAAATATAAAATATTTTAATTTTCATGATGTTTAATATATTGATTTTTTTTTTTTTTTTTTTTTTTTTTTTTTTTTTTTTTTTTTTTTTGCCCCTGGTGTTTTTGGTGTTATATCTAAGAACTCTGCCAGACCCAAGGTCATGAAGATTTGTTTTAGCTCAAACGTTTAGATCTATCACCCACTTTGAGTTAATTTTTGTAGGTGTTGTGAGGTAAGACTTCTAAATTCTTCTTTTTGAAATGGATATCCAATTTTCCCATCCCTTCTTTTTAAAAAGTCATTAGAATTATACAATGCTATCTTAAAATTTCTATCAATGATTAGTTTCAGAATTATAAAATTTAAGTGAAATAATTGGGTATTGCTTTTTTGTGACTAGTGTTAGAAGTGGCAGCTTTTGGGGCGCCTGGGTGGCTCAGTTGGTTAGCCTCCAACTTCGGTTCAGGTCATGATCTCACAGCTTGTGAGTTCAAGCCCCATGTGAGGCTCTGTGCTGACAGCTCAGAGCCTGGAGCCTGCTTCAGATTCTGTCTCCCTCTCTCTCTCTCTGCTCCTTCCCCACTCACACTCTGTCTCTCAAAAATAAATAAACATTAGAAAATGTAAAAAAGAAAATAAAAAGGAAAGAAAGAAAGGAAAAGAAGTGACACCTCTTGTTTCCTGGGTTGTGAGCTTCTCCTATGGAAAAACTTCTAACCCCTCCGACCAAAGAAGTGACACCTTCTTTGTGTCACCTTCTCCAGCACCAACACTACATCCCACTCTAAACAGAGCAACAGATTTTATAACTCTGTAGTCCATAAGAAAGTAACTTGCTCTTCAACACTCTTCCAAATCTGTCTGTAACTTCCATCAGGAGGGTATTGAAGCAATAAGGCCTCTGCTGGCAAGGGCTCCTTGCTGTTGTGGGCCTTTTAGGTCTATAATCCCTCTGGAGCCCATACCCAAACAGTGTAGGAAATGTGAGTGTAAGTAATTATGGGCTATGGAATTTTTCAGTTACGGTGGGTGAACCACAAAAGAGTCCTAGAAACTCAGTCGGTCACATATCCTTTACGAGATCATTAGGTTCCCTCATTGTATCCCATGAGAACATTCACGTTGTTCTTATAAAGCTCCAGGGAGGTGAGAAGAGCAGCGGGTTTGTCATGGATTTCATCTCTGATGATTGCAAGGGAAGCAGCTTCAGCTCAGTGGGTCTGCCATTTTCCCATGGTCTATTGGTCGTCCCTGGTGGCTGTGGAATCACAGCACCTTCAAGAGGACATTCCACATGGTTCTTGGATACAATAGAGGGTATCCAGCCCTTTGTTTTGGGGGTTACTGCAGGTACATTGAAATAGGCACAGTGCTTTTCTAACTAAGGCAAAGATAAGAAGATTTCAGGAACCAGGAGCCCATATCTGTTCTTTATCCTTACAGAGACCAGTGTGACCACCCATGTGTGTGGTCCAGTGCAAGTTCAGAACAGGAAGAATAAAAGAGCAAGGAGACTTTTATTTTGGGCACCCAAAAGGGGATCTCTATTTTTACATTCTTAATAATATTCCTTGAGAATATCAATTTCTCAAAGCAAGCTTAGACATTGAGCTGGGTGGTTTCCACTGACCCACTTCTTGAGAGTATTTGGTCCCGTTCCTCATTGGGCTCAAGAGTTTATAAAACCAGCTAAACATCATTTGGGAGAACGGGTGAATTAGACACTGTCATAATGTCAAACGACTATTTCTGCTACTGTTGTTCTTTGGAAAGGAGAAGTCTGACATCGTCTGGTTATAGAACAATCCAATTTCTGGCCTGGGCCAACAATTCCGGTAGAAGCTTGCTGATTCTAAAGTTCTTCATTATTTAGTGGGAGATGAAAAGTAGAACCCTTTCTGCTGCCACCTTCTGAAGATTTTGAGCACAAGAAATGTATATGAATAGGGCTTTTCTTTCTGTTCTTTAATAGAAACTTGAAGATCTGTCATCAATAGTTAGTATGACGTATAGAATTTAACTTATACATGAGGTCCTCTGATTCTAAATGGCCACTTCAACTCATTCACCGTGTCTAATAAGAGTTTTTCTTTCTTCCTCAGACCCAGCGAACTCAGCCCCATCCATACTGGATGGGTTTGATCATCGCAAAGCCATGGCAGGGCAGCGTGTGGAGTTGCCTTGCAAAGCGCTTGGGCATCCTGAGCCAGATTATCGCTGGCTGAAGGACAACATGCCCCTGGAACTTTCTGGAAGGTTTCAGAAGACCGTGACAGGGCTGCTCATTGAGAACACTCGTCCTTCAGACTCAGGCAGCTATGTGTGTGAAGTTTCCAACAGATACGGAACTGCTAAGGTGATAGGCCGCCTGTACGTGAAACGTAAGTTGGAGGGTAGCTTGAAACAGTGATGTTGGCTGCCATTGATGGAGCTCTTGATACAAGATGACTTCCAGGCTCTTGCTATAGCCTTCCATTAATCCTCACAACAGTCCTGCTGAGACTAATATTACCCCATTTTGCAGAGGAGGAAATGAATGCTCAGACAGATTGCTCAAGATTACACAGCCAGGGTGTTTGGATTTAGGATGGGAATCCAGGTTTATCTGAACCTCCAAGCTTTCCATCAGGCCACAGACTATGTATCTGAGATCCCATTACCTAGTTGTTGAATTAACAATGGCCAGCCTGTCTGAACACTGACGGAGGAAGAGGGGTGGGCTTGTGATGTCCCTGCAAGGGGTGGTAGTCCGATCACAGTGGGTGTCCTTGGCTGGCTTTCAGATGCTACTTTATGTTCCTGAATGGGGCTATTATCCACAGAAATATGGAGCTCTAAATTATCAAAATATTGGAGTTAGACGCATTATTACATATCATTTAATTCAAATATGGTGGGTGTATTTCATCTCTAATTGGTTTGTAGTGACTGTCTTGAGAAGGATGCTGAAGGCAGACCCCAGAGGAAGGAGGGGTGTGACCACAGTGAGGAGCACTCTAATCTAGTCAAACACCCTCCATTTTACTCACGCAGAAACCAAATCAATGCGAGTCACATGACCACAATTGAGCGGCAGGGCTTTGGTCAAAGCAAGTGGCTCTGAGATGCCACTAGAACATTCTTTTCATAGTGTATGATTTTATATATTGCATACGATAAAATATTTTTTATCTGATGAACTGACTGATCAAGCTAAGTCATAAGAGTTGGCATTAAAAGGGAGGCATTCTCTTGACCTGGATTTTTCCAACCTCATGCCTATTAATGCAACTGCCTGTTCCAGTGTCACTCTGGGTGTGGACTGTTCTAGCACAATACCACCCCAACGGAATATGTTAAATATCCCAGTGACTGCTTGGAACCAGCTGCCCAGGGTGAGTCCTGAGAATATCATGAAAACGTGTTTAGGCTGGGCTTCAGAAGAAATGGAAGATAAGTTCCGCACAGCTCTGTTTCTGAAGCTGAAGAAACTTCCAGATGCAATGATGCAGTACTGGAAGGCAAGGAAGAAGTGTCCCCACAGGTTCAAAACCTCCTCTGTGTTAAAACCCCTTTCATGGCTCCCCATTTCCTGCTGAATAAGTTTACATTTTAGGGTATTATCAAAATCATTGTAAGTAAGCCTGTCTGGTGATATTGCCCATACTTTTGCTTGAAAGAAAACTGACCAACTCCTGTTACATTTAAATTCTTCCTATTCCATGTATAAAGCCATCCCTATCCTGACCACAGGTCACAGTCCTCCCTCCACATGGAAGAGGGTTTTCAAATACTTGAAGGTCTAAACTTTCTGTCTTTCTAACCCCAGTGCAGTGCCCTCCCCAATGACACCCCCTGTCCCAACCATCTCAGGCTGAGCTCTCAGTGTTTAATTTATTGCTTTCTCATCAAAATCTACACTTTAGAAGTTATTTGCAGAAAAGTGTTAATTCTGACTGTACTTTGTTTTCACCCTTGTACTCTTTTGCCACATCTGGACAAGTCCTGAAGTGCCCCTCAAATGTTCCCCAACTCCCTCTGACTTCATGACTTCTGTCTTTCTTCTCTAGACAGAAAGCATTCTCTTGGGTTCTAAATCCAAAGCCCTCTCTTCTCCCGTCTCTTCTCCTCTGGTGCTCTCTTTATTCATAGGGGTCTAGATTCCTCCCCTCTGAGAACAAGCCTGGATCTGCAGCCTTAGCCTGGCTTCCTTCCTGAGTGTTAGACAGCATGTCTCCCAATTTTAGATCAGATGTGCCACTGGCATTTCAACACAGCAGCATCGCAAAACAAACTCTCCACCATTTCTACCTGGTCAATGGCTCTTCTTATTTGAGATGTCTTCCCCACTCCTGAGCCCCCTAAATGCAGGCTTTAAAATCCTGGATCCTCCTTAAGCCTTTCCTTTCTGAGTCCAAGTCCTGCCAAGTCCTATAGATTGTAGCTCATGGTGCTTCCTAGCCACCCTCCCCACGCCCCTCCTGTCCTAGATTGAGACTTAACTGCACCTCAACTAGACATTTGCAGTGCCCCCTTACTGACTAATTTCCCCACTCCAGTTTGTGCAATACAGTATGATCAATCAGTTCTCCTAAAAATGCGTTTGACTATAAACTCACTTGCAAAAAATTCTTGAATGCTTCCTTTAGTCCCCTCTGACTTAATTCCAAGATCGTGAAGCCTTTTGAAATCTTGTTCCAGATTGCCGTTGAATTTTTCTCCCATAATTTTCCTACAGAGATTCTGTGTCTTGTCCAAAGTGAACAGGCACACTCTCTTTGTGACAACAGCTATGCTTCATGCCCTAATTCACAAAATGCCCTTTCTTTCCAGCTGGCCTCAGCTCTATTCATCATTGATATCTAAGGAATTTCCTGATCTTTCTACCAATCCCCTTCCACATGGTATATGTCTCTGATGGACCCTATATCACTTCTTGGCTACTATATTAACTCTTGTATTTGTCTCATCTGCCAAAAGACCGAACTTCTTGGAACCAGGGACTTCGTGGTGTGGTGACAGGAGATGTCAGGAATAATTGGGGTAAAAAATGGTTTTAGCTATTTACCGCTTGAGTGGATTTGGTTCAGTTAATTAATCTCTCTGAACAACCACTTCTTCTTCTGTAAAATGGATACGATAAGGCAAAACATGCAGGACTGTGGGAAGACTGACTTCTATAATGTACAAAAGAAGTGTAATAATTTTATGGCACATGTCAGGTGCACCATGAATATAATTCATCTCTGTCTTACCTGTAGCATTAACCCTACTTTTGGCTTCTATTAGATGTTCAGTGAATGAACTTGCTACATAAGATTGGGTTTGTTTTTGTTTCATTGGTCACAAAGTCTAATATCAACCTATTTTCTTACAGCTGTGTGTTATGGGCCCTTGTTGAGCCACAAAGGGGGTATGAGCAGGTGTTATGACTGTGTGAGAATGGTCCAGAGAAACCCGTCAGTGCTACCATGGGACAAGGCAAATAGGATTTAAATGTTCCAATACCTGTGTCCTTATTGGTGGCCAGAACTTGGCATTTCTTATTGTCAGTGGGTGAATCCCCACACTTACCCAGTGAGAAAGCAGTTTGACCAAATGTTGGTCTGTTTGCCACACAGAGAAACAAGACCAGAAAAAAAAACAAAGCGTAAAGAGGGTGCTCCTGAACAAAATGGCGCACTATGGAATAATCCAGAACATAAGAACTGTGTAGCATTGCTTACAATGATGCATTTGCCTTGTCAGAAGCTCAGGATGTTGTTGAAATGATGTCTATGTATGTGATGTTCTTACCTTCTTTTTTTTCTCTCACCAAAATTTCCAGAGCCACTGAAAGCTACCATCAGCCCCAGGAAAGTTAAAAGCAGCGTGGGTAGCCAGGTTTCCTTGTCCTGCAGCGTGACAGGCAGTGAGGACCAGGAACTCTCCTGGTACCGAAACGGTGAAATCCTCAACCCTGGAAAAAATGTGAGGATCACAGGGATCAACCACGAAAACCTTATAATGGATCACATGGTCAAAAGTGACGGGGGCGCATACCAGTGCTTTGTGCGCAAGGATAAGCTGTCCGCTCAAGACTATGTGCAGGTGGTCCTTGAAGGTCAGTGGGCCTTGTTATAGGGTTCAGCTGCAAAAGAACCCAAACGCAGAGCACTCAGAAGAATGATGAAGCAGTGCTGATAACTCCCAGTGTTAGGATTTCTGTCTGTCTGGCTAGCTAATAACTCGGCCCTGGTTTCTCAGGATACGCCGGGCTAATAAGAGACCAAGTGTTGGTGAAAGTTATAAATGGTAGAAGTTGTAAAAGTAACTTCACATAAAGTTAAGTAACATAAATGTCGCCCACTCATGTGTTTAGTTACTTGTCAAGTTACAGACCTCAGAAACGTGGAACATATAGTTTGGTTGACGGTGTGTTAGCCCAGACTGGAGTTTCTCGATGATGCTTTGTTGGAAGAGCCATTTGATGCTATAGGGTGGTTACCAGCATCTCTGGCCTCTGCCCGCTAGATGCTAGCAGCATCCAAGTTGTGACAACCGAAAATACCTCCAGACATTGCCAAATATCCCAGGGTTGGGGGTGGGGAGAGATAAGGAAATAACAGCCCCCAGCTGAGAAATACAATTTTATGGGCAAAGTGTAGGGCACAATTTCAGTATAGTACTTGGTGGAAAGAAAAAAAATGGCGTCTGTTTTGCACAGTTGTCACTGATCGGGTCCAGATATTCACCAATTTAGGTGAACAGAATTTGTGAGGAATGACCTCAGGTTATTACAGTAGGTTTCAGGTGTGTTGTTTTTTTTTCTTACTGTCCTGCTTACATCTTCAAGGTTATCAATCAGCCAGGGAAAAAAAAGCTATCAAGGTAACATTCAAGTGAGACATACATTTGTCACCGGATAATTGAACAAGCTTTTGTCTGTGTATGTGTGTGTGTCTTATTGGAAATTCTGTCTTTACATATAATTTAAAATTCATTTGATGTCAATTGATTAAAATAATGACGTGACTTTCATATAGTCTAAAGAGAAAAAATATTTACGTACGAACATTAGTTTAAAATATGCCTTGATGCTCTTAGGGGATATTTCTGTTACTGTTTTTTTAACCTTAGCTTATTTTTAAGAAGAAGCGGGCTTAGCAATGAGATTCTTATTTTGATTCGGGCATTTTCTTGCAAACTGTTTTTTTTTTTTTTTTTTTTTTTTTAAAGCAGAGGCGAAATTACCAGAAGGCTTGGGACTCATATTAAATGCCTGACACCGTGTTCCCCGTAATAATTAAGTACAGAAAGTAATCAATGTACAGAGCCACTTTGGTGCTGCTCATGCACTATAGTCCTTACATAGCCACTATTTTTAGATTCTTTGTAGAAGAGGGACAGAATACCTGTCTAGGCCTAGTTACCTTGGCAACTATCTCGTGTGACTAAGAAAACCTAAAGAGCATATTGATAATCCATAATGATGTCGAAAGATTTCAGGTTATCAGAGAGTGACAGCAAGAAAGATTTCAAAGACACTCAGGTCTCACTGGGAAAATAATGTCTGCTTTCATCTCCAAAAAAGCCTGTCACTTGAATAAAAAAAAAAAAAAAAAAGGCGGGGCAGAGGAGCATAGCGAGCATTCTCATGGATTTATTTGTCGCGTGTCAGTTTCCATTCAGGACAAGAAGCTTCACTTTATTTTTTCTCTTCTGAGAGATGACAGTACGAATGTAGCAAAAGAGAGCAGAAGTGTAGCTATAAATACATATCTAGTATGCCTTAAAATGGACTCTAACTAGTATCCTTGGCTATCACCTCCTATTATTCCCATTGAAGTAGCTTTAGGTTAATATAAATTATAAAAACTCACAATACTGTGAGCTGAGAATGACCACTGATACAAACGCAGAATCTGGGAGTATTTTCTAGGAGGCCAAAGAAACTGGGAGTTTTAAAAGAAACTGGAAGTCTGAAGAAACTGAGATCTGATAATTAGAGATTCAAGATCAAACCAGAGTAACTGGAGAACGGAATAATAAAAAAGAATAAGAACAGGTCCTACTTCAGAAAACGATAGAATAGCATGTATCAGATTAACCTGGAAGCAGATAAAAATTATGAACTTGGGGAAAAGCAAAACTGTATGTAGACACGGGAGAAACGCGCAAGAGCGGGTGGAAAGGATTTGACCCCTGAAAGAAGAGGAAAGGGTTAGGTGATATGTGCACTGATAGCACTTTTCCCCTGGGGACAGTCCCCAGGCTTTGTGAGGTAGGAGGGGAAACCTCGAATACTAGAAGAAAAGCAGAAAGCTATAGTTCTATGGGATTGACATACAGAAGGACAAAAGGCTGCAATGTCAAATCACCTGCCGTTGAGGAAGATAAGTTGAAATTCCAGTAAGGAGGGAATTCCTTAAATTCCGAACAGTGGGGAGTCCTAAAATCTAAAGATAAACTTCCCTGAAAAACTTACTTGACACCCGGACTGGAAAATGTGGAAGATAATCCCAGTAAAAATTAAAAATAAAAATAACTAGACATAGAAAAAAGAGAAAGTACGTAGTAGAAATAGACCTTGAGAGAACCCAGATGAATGTTAGACAAAGACTTAAAAACTTCTATTTAAAAAATGGTCAATACCTTAGGGTCACCTGGGTGGCTCAGTCGGTTAAGCGTCCAACTCCTGATTTCAGCTCAGGCCATGATCTCACTGTTCCTGGGACTGAGTCCTGTGTTCAGCTCTGTGCTAACAGCATGGAGCCTGCTTGGGATTCTGTCTTTCCCTCTGCCCCTCTCCCCCACCCCCCCCCCACTCATTCTGTCTCCTCTCTCTCTCTCTCAAAATAAGTAAACATCTTAAACAAACAAACAAACAAATAAAATATGTTCAATAAGGAAAATACAGGCGTAATGAATAATTATCTGGGAAAGACCAGAAGAGCAAATGAAAACTATAAAAAGGAACCAGTAGAAATATAAAAATTCAGTGTATTGGCTTTAATGGAAGATTGGAGAAGGAAGAAAGGATCAGTGAATTTGAAGATAAATTAGAACACATTATCCTGTTTGAAGCACAGAGAGAAAGAAATCTGCAAAGGAAGTGAGCAGCGTCTCAATGACATGGGACGTTCATTAGATGGTCTGATCTCCATATAATTAGAAGTCCAGAAAAACAGAAGATTGAGACTGGGGCAGAAAAAAATATTTGAAGAAATAATGGTGACAGTTTTCCCAGTTTTGGTATTAAAGTTACAGAGCCAAAAATCAGTAAATCTGAAGTATAAATATAATCACATGCAGACACATTATAAAGAGTCCTGTTGCTGAAAACCAAAGATAAATAAAAAAAATCTTATAAATCTGAGAGAGGAGAACTCTTTTCTTTTTTTAATTTGTTTAAACATTTATTCATTTTTGAGAGTGACAGAGACAGAGCATGAACAGGGGAGGGGCAGAGAGAGAGAGGGAGACACAGAATCTGAAGCAGGCTCCAGGCTCCGAGCTGTCTGCACAGAACCCGACATGGGGCTTGAACTCACAGACTGAGAGTTCATGACCTGAGCTGAAGTCAAACGCTCAACTGACTGAGCCACCCAGGCGCCCCTGAGAGAGGAGATATCAGTACAAATGATGGATGACTTCTCATCAGATATTTTGGAGGACAGAAGACAGTGGAACAACATCTTTGAAATGTTGACAAGGATAAAAAAAAAAAAAAATCCCTGTTGACCTAGGTTCCTATATCTGTGAAGAATAGTCTTTAAAAAACAGGGAAAGTAGATATTTTCAATAAACCAAAGCTGGAAGAATGTGATAGCAGAAGTTTTGACACATGAAGTCACTGAAGGCAAAAAGGAAATGCCCTAAAATGGAAATTCAGATCTGTAGGCATAAAGCCCATTAGAAGAGGCAGGAAATATGTTAGTAAGCATTCAGAATTTTTTTTCTCTTTTAATGTCTTTAAATAATAATTGACAAATTATAAAATTATAACACTGTTTTATAGAGTTTAGGTATAAATAGATGTAATAACACAAAGCACAGAATATAAATGAAATTATTTGTGCTAGGGTTTTTACATTTCACATGAAGTAACGTAATTTTCACTTTTAGTACATGAAATCAAAATTATATAGATGCACACACACATATATTAGACATATGAATATTTATGTGTATATATCTCTACCTAAATATGTATGTGTGTTTGTGTGTGTATATGTATATATATATATATATATATATGTAGTGTGTGTGTATATACATGTATATATACACACACAAATATGTATATCTCTATCTATATCAATATAAAACTGAGTTCGAATTTATCCCATAAACGTACGATTGGCAAAACATAAAATCAAAATTTATGTATGTATAAGGCATCATATTGATAGAATATAGGAGAAAAACCAATTGATGACTTCAGTATATTCAGAAAACACCATTTGACAGGATTCAACATCCATTCAGAATAAAAAATTCTCAGGATGGGGCGCCTGGGTGGCGCAGTTGGTTAAGCGTCCGACTTCAGCCAGGTCACGATCTCGCAGTCCGGGAGTTCGAGCCCCGCGTCAGGCTCTGGGCTGATGGCTCAGAGCCTGGAGCCTGTTTCCAATTCTGTGTCTCCCTCTCTGTCTGCCCCTCCCCCGTTCATGCTCTGTCTCTCTCTGTCCCAAAAATAAATAAACGTTGAAAAAAAAAAATTCTCGGGAAACTAGAAATGTAAGGAACTTCTTTGACCTAATGGCATTTATGAATTTATTTACTTAAATGATTTATTTATTCATACTTAATGGTTAAGGACTAAATATTTTTCCTTTAACATTGGGACTGAGGATGTTCACAAATACCTCTTCTATTCAGCACTGTTCCAGAAGTCCTAGGTAGGCATGAATAATAAGTAAACTGCACAAAATTTGGAAAGGAAAAGTCTCAACTGTCTTTAATCACAGACCTTGTTGTTTACATAGAAAATTCCAAGTAATCTATAAAACAATTCCCAGATAAGTTTAGAAACTCAAGATACAAAAGCACAATTTTTTTTGTGTTTATATAGTAGAAACCAACAATTGGAAAATAATATTTTAAAATTTCCATTTATATTAGGATAACACAAAAGATACTTGGGAATAAATTTAACAACAGATGTGAAAGATTTCAACATGTGAAACTATACAACTATACATTGCTAATATTGAATTGTGATGACCTAAAAAACTGGAAAGTATACCATATTTAAGGACTAAAAAGCTAAATATTTTTAAGGTAGCAGTCCTCTGTAAGATAATCAATGTAATCCTAATAAAAATCCCAACAGCGTAGAAAAGTGAAAATCCGGGGACACCTAGGTGGCTCAGTTGGTTAAGTGTACAACTCTTTATATCGGCTCAAGGCATGATCTTGCAGTCGTGAGCTCGAGCCCCATGTTGAGCTCTGCACTGAGCTTGAAGCCTGCTTGGGATTCTCTCTCTCCCTCTCTGTCTGCCCCCCCCCCCCGCCCCCATCTCTTGCTTTCTTCCTCTCTCAAAATAAATAAATAAGCATTTAAAAAAAGAAAGAAAAATGGAAGTCCTATAGTCTAAGTTGATTTAAAAGACATGCATGAGAAAGTTAAAGGACTGAGAATTGTGCAATCTTTAAAGAAGAATAAAGTTGGAGGACTCATACTAGCTACATTAAACAATACAGATACATAACTCAATAGAACATACTGGATGGTCTAGAATATGCCCACACACATATATGATAAATTAATTTGCAAGAGAGTCCACAATGTTCCAAAGGTAAAGGAAAGTCTTTTTGACAAACAGTACTACACAATGAATGGAATAACAACAACAACAAAAAATGAATATCAATCCCTACCTCACACCTTATACCTTACACAGATTTAATTTGCTCTAAAATATAGACTGGGATATAAAATCCCAAACTATGAAGTCTCTAAAAGGAAACATAGAAGAATTATTCATCGTCTGAATGGTAGGCAAAGCTTTCTTAGGATAAAGAAAGCAGTAAAAGTCAAATACACCATTAAGAAGATAAAAGGCAACTACAAACTGAAAGAACATTTTACATATGCAAAAACACACATCTATTTTATATATATATATATATATATATATATATATATAATGTCTGGCACACATTTTATGTAACTAATATATCTGACAAATATATTTGACCATTATAAGATACATGATAAATATTTGTTTTCAACATACATAAAGAACTCCTACAAATCAATAAAATGTAGTCTAACATAACAACGGACAAAAGATTTGAGTAGATATTTCACAAAAGGAGATACACAAATGGCCAATAAGCACATAAAGACAACATTATTTCCATGATACCCTTGCAAAAAATGCAGAACCTGCATCTAATCATGACAAAACAAAAAAAAAAAACCCAGTGTGAACAACTGGCTATGGAGTAATTCTTCAAAATGTTAAAGCCAAAAAATACAGAAGAGACCAAAGAATGATCCAGATTGAAGGATGCATGCTAAGGAAGCATGACAGATAAATGGGATGTATGGTACTGGTTGGGCTGGGAGAGAGAGCTGGGAGGGACATTGTTGGTCGGCAGACAGACTTTCCATATGGACTGTTAGGTGATAGAACACTTCCAAAGTTTCATTTCTTAATTTCGCTGCCTGTCCTATGGTAATAGTAGAATGTTTGCAGGATAGAGAACCCACACTCTAGGATTATATGGATTTGAAGTTCAAGAAGAGGCAAACAAAGTCACATTGAAAGAAATCAGGACAGGGGCGCCTGGGTGGCGCAGTCGGTTAAGCGTCCGACTTCAGCCAGGTCACGATCTCACGGTCCGTGAGTTCGAGCCCCGCGTCAGGCTCTGGGCTGATGGCTCGGAGCCTGGATCCTGTTTCCGATTCTGTGTCTCCCTCTCTCTCTGCCCCTCCCCCGTTCATGCTCTGTCTCTCTCTGTCCCAAAAAAAAATAAATAAAACGTTGAAAAAAAAAAGTTTAAAAAAAATTAAAAAAAGAAAGAAATCAGGACAGTGATTCCCTCTGGTGAGAGGGGATTGGTTGAAAGGAACCCTGGGCAAGTTGTGGGGTCCTGAAACGCTTTATGTTGCAGTCATTTGGGTGGTTACACAGTGTACATATTTAACAAAATATTCTGCTTGTACACTTAAGATCTGTATGTGTCACTGTATGTAAACTATATCTACAAAAAAAAGGTGTAACTGAAGAAAACAGTTACAAAACAGATTTTTAAAAAAGACACGTTTTCAGTGCATAGTGTAAAAATCAGTGCAAAGAAATATACAGCTCTGCACATTCAAAAAAAAAGTTGAATTGTAAGATTAAATAAAATAACATTCCTCAGCATCGACAGCCGATTACGTACAAAGAATAACAATCATGGTGACGTCTCACTTCTCTGTAAATAAAGGCAGAGCATGATGAAGCAGAGTGTGTGGTGTCCTAAGGGTAAAAACACAGGTTCTTTACTTTAATATTATGAAGCCCTTTTTTTCATCTTTGATACTAAAGCAAGATGTTTGCAATTCAAGAACACTGCAGTACTCCACAGTGGTTGCATGTGGGGAAAAAACATACTCAAGGGCCTTCTCCAGTCACCCAGGAGTTGGAATGAAATTGACATTCAGGAATTTGCAAGAGAAAAGATGGTAGAGGGCTCAGCAAAGCACCCACATCAGGAGAACCCTACATGGCTGGTCCCTCTGGCCACAGAAATAGGCTTCCAGATTTCCAGAGAGGAGGAGTGGGTGGGGCGGGGAGGGGGGGAGGGCAGAAAGAGAAACTCTTCAGGGGTACTTGTAAGTGTTAACAGTTATCTTTCTGTGATGGAATTGTGAGCTAGCTTCAGGTATGTTTCCTCCATTTGTTTGCTTTCCAATTTGTCATCAGTGAATATATGTGTGTGTGTGTGTGTGTGTGTGTAAATATATATATATATACATATATGTGAATATGTATGCATATATATGCATGCATTTATGATTGCTACCATACAGTATGAGGGAAATGGTTCATATATATGATAGAAAGACAATGGAGTATGAAAATTTTGTCTTTGTTGAAAATATCAGAAATTCCTGTGGAAAACTCCCTAAGACCTAGATCTTACTTTGCCTGGGACAGTCTGAGGCTGTGCCTGCCTCCCTGGCATAATTACTTCTGGTATCTGTTTTGTTCTCAGAACGGTCCCATGTTGGATGATAAATTTGTACAGCCACCAGCTTAAGACACTTACAGAGATATTTATTACACACTGGAAGACTCAAAGTTTATTTGGCTTTGATCCCACTCTCAGAGTTTCCATGACATTTACATGGACTTCCCACTTATCATTAAAACTATAAAGGATGATTTTTTTATGAGAAAATAAATAAGGTGAACCTATCCGTCTGTCAGTCTTTCCTCCTCTGAACAAGTCCCTGGGCCATAAGCCCTAATTATCTCAGAAGTAGAAGGCTAAAGTGACCATTTGGAAGGGTGGGTTTCCTCTGTGTTTATAACATGTAATAGGGACCTAACAGTTCTAGATTGTGGACTTCTTGGGAGCTGACGTTGTATAACTTGAGCATCTGGGTTTCATGATTGTCCTTCTTAGGACAATCAGGAAATATACAGAAGTAATTTATTAAAGGTCGCTAACACTGTTTGCCTATTTTGAAAATGAAATCTTGCTCTGCTTGGAATTTAGCTCTAGCCGTAAAACCAGAATACCTGTAGTGTTCAATGACCAGCATGTCTATCTCCTAACCATTACACAAATGTACTTGGAGGTCGTTTAATTATTTGTATGTGCCACTTCCTTCCATCCTTTGTCTTCCTGCAGACGGAACTCCCAAAATTATTTCTGCCTTTAGTGAAAAAGTGGTGAGTCCAGCAGAACCAGTCTCCCTCATGTGCAACGTCAAGGGAACTCCGTTGCCCACCATCACGTGGACCCTGGACGACGACCCGATCCTCAAGGGTGGCAGTCACCGCATCAGCCAGATGATCACGTCGGAGGGAAATGTGGTCAGCTACCTGAACATCTCCAGCTCTCAGGTCCGGGATGGGGGAGTCTACCGCTGCACTGCCAACAATTCGGCGGGAGTCGTCCTGTACCAGGCTCGAATAAACGTAAGAGGTGCTTGTCAAATCAGCTCCTCAAAAAAAACAAAAAACAAAAAACAAAAAAAAACAACAAAAAACCCAAAAAACAAAAAAAAAATACATCTAACTCACTGTAGTGGAGAAGAAGGTTTCTGCATGCCCTGAGCTGAGTCTCGGAATGCCGAAAACAGATTCGCCGTTGCTTCCCATTTCCTACCCTCTCCTTTCGGCTCCAGAATGGCCCAGATTGGGTTCATGTGGGAAGTGGCATTTTGTTCTTTTCAGTCAGCTCGTTCTCTTTGTTACTCTTCGATTTGTCCACTTGATCTTTTCTTTCTCGGTTTATGCTCTGCACGCTCTTTTCCTTCCTCCTCCTCTTCTGTTCTTCCACATTCATGGTAAAGCTCCATGTACCTGGTATTTTAACTTACATTCATAGTGCACCATGGCATAACCTCCATCTTGATAAACCTACGTCATAGAGTTTGAAAATTGAATTGCTCCTGGTGTTTTCACAAAAAACAGCATGATTGTTCAGGGCGGACTAATTACTTTTTGTTGAAGAAATTGCCTCTTCTCTTGTAATTCAAGACGTTTTCATAGAAGTAGTTGATACTTAGAGTATTTAACACTCCTTCGATCCATTTGAAAGTAATGAAACTAAAAGGAAAAAGGACTGCTCAGTAGAAGAATCCAAATGCAGAGAAGATCGTGTAATAGAAAAGTTGAAAAAGATATTTTTCACATGAAAATAATCTACATTGGTTTTCTTTTACTCAAGGAAAAGTGTACCCGTTTCCACACATGAGATGTACCCTTAAATTATTTTCAAGAGTTCCTTTGTGTCTCTCTAGGGCCTGCAAGCATTCGGCCAATGAAAAATATCACAGCCATCGCAGGACGGGACACGTACATCCACTGCCGTGTGATTGGCTATCCGTATTACTCCATCAAATGGTACAAGAACTCTAATCTGCTTCCTTTCAACCACCGCCAAGTGGCATTTGAGAACAACGGCACTCTAAAACTCTCAGATGTGCAAAAGGAAGTGGATGAGGGAGAGTACACGTGCAACGTGCTGGTTCAACCACAGCTCTCCACCAGCCAGAGTGTCCACGTGACGGTCAAAGGTAAGGCTGCTCTCCCTGTCCCCACACGTCTTGCCCTTACTCAGCTCTTTCACCAGAGGGACGATGAACAGCAGGGGGGATCTTAGAAGCTGCATGTTTACAGTAGGACAGTTCCAAAAACAGGAAGGCTAGAGTACCTCACATGTTCTGATCTCTTGACTCCTCGATGCATCCACTCCTGCATCAAGAGCTGTGGTTGATATGATTTTCTTTTCATGTGGAATTTTTGGTTTGGTTTTCCAGAGGACATGTGTTGTCAGTATTACCACAAGAAGAGAGAGAGAGATCATTGGCTTCGTTACCTAGTTGTCCGACAGATCATTTTAAAACACATATAGATCTTCCTCCACTTACGATGGGGTTACGTCCCAATAAACTCATTGTAAGTTGAAAATGTAGTAAGCCAAAAATGTATTCAATATATCTCACTACCAAACCTCGTATCTTAGCCTAGCCTACCTGAAACATGCTCAGAACAGTAACATTCGTCTGCAGTTGGGCAAAAATCATGCAATGCAAATCTGACTTTATAATAAAATGTTGGCTATATCCTGTAATGTATTGAATACGGTACAGAAAGTGAAGAACAGAAAGGTTGTGTGGGTGAAGTATGGTTGTCCGTTTGGGTTGTTTACCCCTGTGACTGCTGGCTGACTGGGAGTCGTCTAGCATCAACATGAGGGTACCTACTGCATAGCACCAGCTCTGGGTGGCGGGGGGGGGGGGGGGGGGGGGGGGAGTAGGTTCAAAATTCAAAGTACAGTTTCTACTGGATGCACTCGTCTTCTACACCATCGTGAAGTGGAAAAATCATAAGTTGAACCATCCTAAGTTGAGAACCATCTGAATTTTTGTTTTCCTAAAAAATCCTGAAAGCACGTTCTTGCAGAATCCTACCAGAAGAGGTTTTCTGTAACAGATCAAGACTTCAAACAGACTTCTCACGTTGAATAGATGATCAGGTCAAAACAACAACATAGGAATTATATGATTAAAGAGCTCCACAGAAAAATTCCTTGATTTTTAAATGATTCTTTACATCTCAGTTCACCAGGATGAACTTTGGGGGATGAACAAAGTTTTCCATGGCCTTCCCCAACCTTTTTCCCCTATAAACCTTGTTAGTTTACCTTTCCAGGACACCTGTAAATACACACACACACACACACACACAGATGTTCATGAACACATATAATCTGTGTAATATATCATATATGTTATATAATATGTAGCATATATGAGGTATAATTTCACATTAATAATTTTGAATCTTTTAAAAATAGCCACATATCTTAAGACTTTTCTCAGATCATTAGAATTTCTTGGTAAACCAGACTGTGATAGCTGCATAAAACTTCATTTTGTAGTTGAATTTATTTCTTCAACTGCCATTCCTGAAACATCTGCTTGATGCTAGGCTCTATTCCAGGCATTGAGGGAAACAGTGATGAAGAAGGTAGACAAGTTTCTTCTCCTGTCGAACTCTCCTTCCAATCACGAGAGACAAACAGTAAACAAACAAAACAAGCAAATAAACCAGAAAGTATAATACAATGTAGAGAATTAAAACATGTCAGTATCTTAAATATTAGCTGCATTGGAGAATTAGAAGCTAGATCAATGAATGTTTGGTGCTTTGCTGTCTTAAAATTCATTTTCTATCTGAATGAATGTCTTACCCACACATTGTTTTGTAACATAGTAAGTTGATCATTTGGAAATTATTGGTTTGCTGAGTTAGGTAGATTTTTGAAACATTGACACAATTTATAATAATGTCAGAATATCACCATGGTTTCATCAGAAAAGTATTTCAGTATTGGGAAGCTGTCGAGTTCATAGTGACAGATACAAGTCTTACAAAAGTCTATTCTTTTGCTTGAAAGTTTCAATTTCATTGTTTGCAGCAAATACAGTCAGTTGTGATCATAGGAGTGACAGGCTTATTTCTTTTTTTTCTAGGAAAATGTCTGCTAGTTACCCAAGCCTGAATAGCTATAGCTTTTAGGCAGCCATTCTCTGTGGAAACAATGGAATTCCATGAAAAGAGTGGCTAGTTGAGCTTGTAACTCAGACAAGTGCACAAGTACTTTGCTTCAAGACAACCTTCCTGCTCAGCAGACAGATCAAGTGCTTTGTGCATTTTCCCCATTTTGTTACACAGAGCATAGAACTCTGGAAATGTCATGGGCTTATCATTTTTATGGCTCCATGAAGTATCCTTAGAAACTGCTTTTGACAAATATTGGGACTGTGTGGTGGTAAACAACACAGTGACAGCTAGTACATTTTGGTGTCACTGCCATGATTTGTGCGAAGGCCCATGCAGTCTTACCCACCGTTACTTTTGTGTATCTATGCAAATGTCACCCCAATGAGAAAGGTGAATAATACCTTAGTGTTACAGTGAAAATGATTATCTTTTTGCCATCTCCCTAAAATGTTCTCAGGGATCCCCAGAGGTCTTTGGATTACATTTGGAAAATATCTTGGTGCTAAATATTTCTTTCTTTTCTTTTCTTTTCTTTCTTTCTTTCTTTCTTTCTTTCTTTCTTTCTTTCTTTCTTTCTAAATTAGCTGCCACCAGAATATAAGCTTCTCTTTTAATTTATTTATTTAAATTCAAGTTAGTTAACATACAGTGTAGTGTTGGTTTCAGGAGTGGTACCCAGTGTTTATCACTTACACATAACACCCAGTGCATCAGCAGTCAAAAAGAATGAAATCTTGCTATTTGCAACAATGTGGATAGAACTAGGGTGTATTAGGCCGAGGGAAATAGGTCAGGCAGGAAAAGACAAATATCATATTATTTCATTCATATTTGGAATTTAGGAAACACAACACATGATCATAGGGAAGGAAGGAAAGCAAAAATAAGATAGAGAACCTAGAGAAGGAAGCAAACCATAAGAGACTCTTAAATAAATATTTCATTTATTTCTAATATTTAACCATTTTGAATGATGTGTCAAATGCCCTTCTCTATGCATTGGCCTTTATCTACTTGTAAGATGATTTATTTCAGGAAAAATTGCCAGGAGTGTGAGCGTTAGATAAATGGATACAGATATTTTAATGTCAGGTTTTTAGGAGACATAAATTCAAACAAAGACCATTTGAATTATTCACTTATACTCTTAAAATGTTCTCGACCAGCAGAAATCAATGTATTAATCTTTATCCTTTTAATTTTATGTGACAGAAACTGACTCAAACTGGCTTATACCCAAAAGGAGAATTTATTGGCTCTTAATAACCAAAGTATTGATCATTTTAGAAAACAAATCAGATAGTTTTGGTTTCAAGAATTTCTTTTCTTCTAAGGATATATTATGTAGAATAATCATTTTCAGGTTCTTGGCGAGGATTGTCATATGAAAGAAGGAACGTATTATTTTGTGCAATATTTCATTATCGTTGCCTGGTGAGAAATAGCTGTCAGTGGGTGGGGAAGTTGAAGGGATTTGGGATCTGCACTGCTACAGGGAGGTTGGGGAAGGCTTCTCTGAGAAACTGACATCTGATCAAGGACACGGAGGTGGGCAAGATAGCCAAACATATACCCGGGACAAAGAGCATTCTAGGCAGAGGGAACACAAATAGTCAGGGGTGGGCCTGGCAACCTAGAGAACTAGTAGAAAGGCAATATGGCAGGAACAAAGTGGACACAGGGTAGAGGTATGGTCCGAATTAGCAGGGTCCTCTCATGTAGGACCAGGGCTGGGCTCGGAGGGTTTGAGTTTTTCCTTTGAGTGAGATGGAGGGGTGATCAGAGATGTCAGATTAAACAGAGATGTCACCTGGCCTGGGTTGGAAAAGGGTATGCCTGACTTCTATTGCTGAGATAAGGCTGAAGCCCAGAAGGGACAGAGAGGGGGTGAGGAGAAGACAGATTCTGGATATATTTTGAAGGTCTCCTCCATGAGATTCCCTGATGGATCGGATGTAGGTGTAAGAGGATAAAATCTGGGCCTGAGTGATGGAAAGACTAGTGCTTCTGTCAGTTGAGCCAAGAGAAGATGCTGTGAAGCAATTTAAGGGAAGAAATCAGGAGTCTACTTTTGGATGTACTGAGCTTGAAACATTAAGTGGATCCACTAAATAGACAGTTGGATAGATAAGAGTGGAATTTAGGACAGTGGAATCTTAAACAGTAGATTTGGAGACATCGGTGAATGAATAATGCGTAAGACACGGGCCTACATGTGACCATCAGGAGACTGTGTACCTCACTGCAGATTTTCACTCATATAGACAGATTTATCAATCCCTTAGTTAGACTCACAGTAAATTTAGTTCACCAAATATCTGAAGGTAAAGTCTGATGGAAATTCGTACAAGAACTGTTTGAAATTTAAATCTGTATCTTTAAATTTCCTCAATGAGGACAGATCAGTGTATCAACCATGATCCTATCGATTGCAAAGTGTAGGAGCTCAAATCAGACTGGTTTAATAGCAACTACTACAGTGTAGGGGAGGTAGGGGTGGAGGTCAAGGTTGTATTGAACTAAACTTTGGGAGGGACAGAGAGAATGTAGGCCTTGGGGAAGGCCTGGTCTAGACCTTTAATTACCATCTGAAGCTTCTGATTCTTTGGTGTTTCCCTCTACACATCGGCTTCGTTCCCTCTGAGTAGCCCTTCCATTCAGCAAGAAAACTGGCCCTGAGTGTCCCTGGGCTCACATGCCCTTTCCCCAATGGTTCCACATAGGAAACTTGTAGGGAGGGATTCTGGCTCCCTCCCAGGAATAGGCCACCACCCATTCCTGGACCAGTCACTGTGAGCAGACCTATGGGGTGCCTGGACAGGCTGCCCACTTACCCCCATACCTCCACACCAGGAAGAAGGTTGCACTTATCTAAAGAAAGAGGGACATGAAAGCAACAGACATTGCAAGCTGTCTCAAGATAGTGAATTAAAACATGAACGGAGCTGATCATGACTTCTGAATGTGTATTCACTTTACTTAGTAAAATGTGCTCGGTAAACAAAGG